ATGCTGTTTAAAATGTTTTAATGAAGGATGCAGGTGCAGATGATTAAAAATTTATTTAAAGACTGGAGCTATACATAGTAATATATACATCTGATAGTATCCTCTGTTGTACTTCGCTTATGCATGTGTCTTTCTGATATTATTCACCTCAAAGAATTTCATTATATTTTCTTTATTAAATGGCATCTGAAAAAAGAACTGGGTTTTTTGGCTATGAGCTGAGCACTACTGTAAAATTGTAAAATACTCTGTTGCATTAAGTACTTAATATTTACATGCTGTGCAAAGGAAGGCAGGCATAATGTTTTCCAACTAAAAACTATCAAAGATGTCATAACTTGCAAGTGTTCTTCAGAATTGGCTTAGTGCATTTTTTATTTTTTTTTTTTGCTTATAGTATTGGGAATTAGAGGCCTAAATTTCGTTCATAACAGAAATAAAAGCTACACTTGGCTTTTATGAATACAAAATGAAAACAGAACTTGTTTAAGTGCCCCAATAACTACAGTGTGGATTTCTTTACCTTTCAGTGTCATAATGTATTCTGAGAGAAATTCCAGTGAAATGTTCCTTTTAGTTTTGTTACTTTGAAATCTGTCTTTAAAGAATCTGGGTTTTTTGGGTTTCTGCAGTTTTAGGGATGTAACTGAAGTCTTCCTCTGCCACCGTTTATTAGGAGAAACCACTGAGTTTTTTTTCTTGAGTTATTCATGCCATCACTAGTTTACAGAAACAGATGTAGAACCCTTTAATGTATCTTTTTGTTTCCTTTCTTCCTGCCATCTCTTCGTCCCTCTCACCCATTTTTAAAATTGAAAAGATCCAGTAAAACTTGAGTGAGGTTTTTGGACTTACCTCTGTAAAACAGTGCTGCCATCACTTAGATACAGTACATCTAAATTGCACTGAAAATACCTCTGACTCCATATTTTTTTTTTAAATGATTCCTGAAATCCCATCTTGTAGCCAGCCCATTGTGAGCTGTCTCTAGTAGCATTGCAAGTTCTCATTGAAGGTTGTTTGTAGTTTCCATTCCTTAATTTGCGTTGTTAAGTTCTGAAAGGATTTTTTTTCTTCCCTGTGCATTGCTTTTCTGTTTGGTTCTTACAGCAGTCGTTGGGATACAGAAGTTGATAACATACATTTCATCCTCAGTGGTGACAGGATGTTGATGTTGCTGACAGAAGTAGGGTGGAGGAGAAAACAAAGACAGGGCCTCTACCTTTTGTCCCCTTTCACAGTAGATAAAGCACTGAGGAACTAAGGGAATCTACCAAATTTTTTTTTTCCTATCAAAAAAAGAATCAGAGTCCACGATCAGTTTGTTCTACTTCATTAAGCAGAGCTCTTTGCCGTGTTTAGTTCAAATCTCTGGTCTCTCTGAAACAATCTGGTGGCCTTGATCCAGGTATTCCTCTTTGAACAGCTCTGTCAGGATGATTATTGATATTTCAGTACCTTTTTTTCTTTTAAGCAATGTTGAAATACCTTCAGAAAAACTAGACAAATAAACCATATCAGTTTTTAAAGTTTTTGAACTAGTAACTTTCAGAAAAACTAAATAAACTCTTGGGGAAAACAGAAAGGAAAAAATGCTGTTTACCTTAGTCAGTTTTTGTTACTTTAGAATTTGGCATGTCTTTAATTAAAACAAAACATTGTAGATGGTATTGGAAGATACACAAAGACAGCTCTGTTTGATGTTAATTTAGAAAAAAAAGTATCTTGAATCCATAGAATTTCCTGCATAAACTCCTATAGGCGTCCAACTGAGAGAGATCCATTTTTTGCCAGGTATTTTAAAGCAGTTACGCTGAGAGCCTGGACTTCATCCAAATTGCCATTGACTTTAGGGGGTTTTATTCAAGCTTATGATGTTGTATGCACAAGCAAGTATTACGTTACAATAAATATCTCTTTATGCCTTCAGAAGAATCTCCTTGTGCGACCAGACTTGGAACAGTATTCAAAACATCTTTCCTTTTAAGGGATGAATTGGATTATCTGTTCTTTACATATTCAGTGTTCCACTTGAGATATCCCTAGCAGAAATGCAGTATATTTGTTTTTCATACAGGTCTTTGACTGGTGGCTTTATCAGTATTTGTATCTTTCAGAGTTGCATTTAATGTTTTCACTGATGGATAAAGTTCCGAATGGCATAGAGCCTATGCTAAAAGACTTGGAAGAACATATTGTTAGTGCTGGACTCGCCGATATGGTAGCAGCTGCTGAAACTATTACTACTGTAAGTGTATTGTTTTTTCGTAAAATAACAACGAAAAAACAACTTTGCAGAAGTTAAATACTCCCTATTTGCGGGCTTTCAGTGGAAGAGAGGCTGTTCAGTGTGGACATTAAAAGTGTTTTTCCCCATGTTCTTTTTTAGCTTTTTATCATTGTTTTCTCTGGGTCTAGGAGGCCTGAGTATCTGCAGTATTTGGGATGTGTCTTTTATTGGTCCTTGAAAACTTTTTTTTTATTTTAGAAGTTGTTATACAATATTTGAAAGTTACGTATTTTTATTTTTATGTGTGTGTGTGTATATATATATATATAGGTTTGTGTGTTGGAAATACTATCCTGAAAGTCTGTGTTGAGGCTTACATGCTATGGAGCTCTTCAGTGCAGAGAATAAAGATAAAATGCTTGTTCATAGTATGCAGGCTTGAGGATACTACATTAATACAGATTAGGGAATTATGTGTAAGTTCACACTGAATTCTATGGAGCCTTGGTTTTTTTATTTGATTTTTGCCTCTCTGACTTTAGGATTCTGAGAAATACGTAGAGCAATTGCTCACACTATTTAATCGATTTAGTAAGTTGGTTAAAGAAGCTTTTCAAGATGATCCAAGGTTTCTTACTGCAAGAGATAAGGTATGTGTTTCTACTGATCATTTGTTTTCAGTTTAAGAATGGTTGTAATTCATATCATGATGTCTCTGAAATCCTTGTGCCCATTCACTGTTAAATCTAGAAGCTGCTCTTAAATCTAGTAAATATGCAGACTAAAATATTGAAACTTCCTACCAACTAATTAGCTTTTAATTTGTGTTGTAGTCATGCATGAAGTTGCATTTATGTTCAGCTTTGTAATGTTGTAGAGCACGTCAGAAAGTGATCTTTGTGTTGAGAACCTTGATGTCTGATTCAGCAATATATTTATGTTTAGAATTTACTACACATTTGGGTGTAGTCTCATGATTTCAGATATGCAACCCCCTCCACGCAGTCCCTTCCTAAGTTACTGTTTAAAGGGAAGTTGTATGTTACTGGAAAAGAGGAAAATGCAAAACATCGGTTAATGGGAAATGGAGTCATAGGATTTGAATTGTCATATTGAAAATCAAATCCAGAAGCTCTGGGTAATAAAAATAATTGGATAAATTTCACGTTACGGTAATCTAAAAAGAGAGAAAACCTTTGTGATTCATATGTTAAAGAGAGAAACTGAGCGAAGCACTAATCTGTAATTATTTTTCAGGCATACAAAGCAGTTGTGAATGATGCTACAATATTTAAACTTGAATTGCCATTGAAGCAAAAGGGGTAAGTCATATAAACTTCATGTGAATCAAGGTTTTCGAATTGTTAAAGATTGAGCTTCTCTTTTAAAATGTCTCTTCAAAAAGTAACAATGTGTTTAAAAGTGCGTTGTGTTCTTTGCCTTATGGAATGTCAGATTCCTTATCAACCTCTGGTAAGACGCTCTTCACATGGCAGTGGATCAGTGAATAGCAGCCTGTTTAAACTCAAATTTATTTGTAGTAATTGGGAATCTGTTATTTTATAGTAGAGTAATGAGTCAATCTGTTAGCTGATTTTAATAATACCTTCTTGTGTTATTAATTCCAAAATCCTGAGCTGTATAATTCTGCTGCAATTTCAGCAGAACTCCTGGGAAAAGTGAGGCAGTAGTCTGTATGGGAATAGCTGTGGTTGATTAAGGTGGGACCATCCACAAGCTGTTTACCACCTTCTCTTGTGCCAGCTGTGAGTGTGACCTGTCTGGGTGTTACATTTTTGTTGTGGTGCAGGATTAACCAGGTTAACTTGAACAACTTCCAGTAGATTAAGCAGACCTATGTGACTCAAGAAGAAAAACCGTGCTTACAGTGGCCACTCTGCTAACTCAGCCAAGAGAAGGTAGCAGTCAGTCAATTGATTGTTAACATTTACCATGTGATGTGCCACTTGAGTAGGATATGTATATATTTACGTGGTTGCTTATATACAGTTTGTAGTCTGATTTACTACGGAAACAAGGCTTACGTAGCTGGGCTGCCAGCTTCCCTTTCCAATTACTTCTAGTTAGGGGTGGATGGGTATAAATGTCTTCAGCATTCTGCTTCTTCCTCTGTGTTTGGTTTTAGACTAATGGTAAGCCTGGATAGGGATTAGTGTTGCCGTTGTTGTGTTATTGAAGGAACACCTTCACAAAAGACTGGATCCCTGTTTTGTATATTTAGTATAGTTGTCAGCGAGGTAGAGGAGTTTTTTAGATCTCTGCTAGTGTTTTCATTTCCCCTGGGAGCATCCGAATCAATACCTCATTCAAACTGTTTCGCTCCTAAAGCTAAACCTGCCTAGTGATTTCTTAGAAACCACTGTGATGGAGATGGTCTTCTGTTCAGCATTCTTCTTCCCAAGCTCTTTCAAGTTGTCTGTGTATGCAGCCTGGTTTAAGTAAAATGAAACTTCATCCTGCTTAACTTGTGCAAGTTCAGCCTAAGAAGATGGAATTTGGTAAATTTTCATTGCTGCCAGGATCTTGAAGACTTCTGTTCAGAGACACCTGTGAACAAGTTGATTAAATGAGGGTTCTGTCTTGTAATAACCAAAAGACTGGTGATCTGCTTTTACTCCAAATGGTCTTTAGGAGGACAGAAGACACTAGCCTGCAACCTGCTTTCTGAATTGAAAAGGACAAGTTGCCTAAAGAGTTTTAGCACTGTCTACGCTAGTTGATGAGAGGGTGAGAGAATGAGCAAGAACACTGGATTCCTGAGCATCCCCACAGCTTCTTACTTGTTGTCTTACTCTCTGCCTCTGTTTTGGACCCTTGAGACTAGCAATCAAGTTGGTGCTATCTGGCTCTACAAATAGGGATTGGTTCTTGGCACTATTCTATTCACCAGTCTAGACACAGGCTCAGAACGCAACCTTATGCTTGCATGCATTTTGAAGAACCACGGTCTGTCTACTGTAGCATCTTCTTTAGCTCTAATCTGCTTTTAATCTCCAAGCTGTTAGTCCACTGGTTATACCTGTTATAAAATAATTTTACTGTTACTATGCGAAAGATACGTTGGGTTTTGCAGTCTGTGACATGCAGTGCAGGAGGCTGTTCTTGAGACTTTATCGTTAGAGCATACTGACAAGATGAGTGAAACGTTTCACTGCAGCGTTTGTTAATTCTTTACTGGAATACTTATTGCCATGCAATATTTAGTTGTTTCAAACTGTAATTTCAATGTAAACCTCCATTGTTGGAGTTCCCATATTAAAAGCAGTTAGAATGATCAAGCTGTAGAAGCTGTCTGAAAGTGTTTGGTAGTATTTATTCTTTCAAGAAGAAAAGGGAGTTATCCCGAATTTTTCATTAGGTTAACAAGGATATGAATTCACCACCAGGATCCTTGCCAAGGGGCTCA